GTTGGTATATGCACTAAAACTTTTAAGGTAAGTGGTTGCAAACTATTTATATGACCTAAATTCAAACAAACCAATTACATTTAATAATGTTCAGCATGAGTAGAGCTGCTGCTCCTCCACATTGAGAGAAGTCAGCTGAGGTGGCTCTGGCATCTGTTTTGGATGCCTCCTGGACGCCTACCTAGGGAGGAGTTCCAGGCATGTCCCACCAGGAGGAGGCCTCGGGGAAGACCCAGGACACGCTGGAGGGACTATGGGCCTACTTACACTATGCTATCCGAACCGTGCCCAGGCCCGTTTCCCGGATTGTTTGAGAAGTGTGAGTTCACTGAATCGCGGTTCACTTGGGCTTTGGCCCGATACGCTTGTGTGTGAGTGCAAAACGCGCCAAAGCCCAAAACTGAAAGCGAGATGTGACTCTTAAGGGACCGTTTGATATGATTTATTAATCATTCTTACTGTTCAGTGAACGCAAACTGTTGTGGATTATTAAAGACGCAAACCTCTCACTGCAGGACAGCTCTGCACCCTCAGCAAACCTCCTAATTCCTGCAGCACGAGGACTTTATGACTGTTATGAGCATCCAATGTGGCTGATCTGTTCGCCAAAATATCTGACTGCGTGTCAATGCATAATATCAAATGACTTAAATGATGATATAACTGAAGCAATCTTCACTCTACTGAGCAAGCTGCGCTTCTGAACAGCGCATTATCGATGACGTAAGCGTGCCCAGGCCCGAATGTAATGTGAGTGCAGGCTGTCATGGGAGACGGTAGGGGGGCAAGCGTGCTTTGGCCCGGTTCAAGGCAACTTTACATAGTGAGAGTACGCTCTATGTCTCTCGGCTGGCCTGGGAACGCCTCGCGATCCCCCTGGAGGAGCTGAAAGAAGTGTCTGGGGAGAGGGAAGTCTGGGGTTCTCTCCTAAGACTGCTGCCCCTGTGATCCGGCCCCGGAAAAGCAGATGAAAATGAACGAATGAATGTTCAACTTACTTTGTTTGTTTAAATTCAGGAAAAATAAATTGTTTGCAACCACTTATCTTAGAAAAATGTAGTAAATGCAAAGAGTATTTTATCTAGTGTGAGGTTCAGAAACACTATAAATTACTACCTTATGTTTAATGCCATTTTCTTTGTCACGGGTAGATGCCCAGAGTGTCCCAGAAGTCGCAGATGTCTTCTCCGTACCCGGCCTGTGAGTGTGGATGTGCGGTCAGGTTCATGATCATCCAGCCTCTGTTGGCTGTGTATGAGGGCCAACTCGGAGGCCGCTGCTGCCGGCAGAACCCGCTGATGTCCGATGGTCTCCGGGTCTCTCCGGTGGGGTTTCCGGTGTGAGCAAATCCGCCCCAGTAGCACAGCACCCGGTTGGAGAGCAGTTTCTCAGCAGGGGTCATGCTGAAGTTCGCCACCGACGCTGAGTCAAACACAAATGGAAGCTCCGCTCCGTGACACACACGCTGGTAACAGGAGGACACACCTGACCACACGCGTGGGTCGCTGGACACCTGATCAAACACATACATCCAGGCAGAGCTACCGGACAAAACAGCGGCCCGAGCAGACCTCCGGGATGGACACCAGAAGATGTAATCAGTCACGATCTGGAAGACAAAAGTGAGTTTGAAATATGACATATTACTTTACAACACAAATTTATTAATTTTCCTTCAGCTTAGTCCCTTTATTCATCAGGGGTCGCCACAGTGGTATGAACCGCCAACTATTCCAGCATATGTTTTACACAGCGGATGCCCTTTCAGCCGCAACCCGGTATTAGGAAACACCCATACACTTTCATACACTTCAGCGCATGTGTTTGGACTGTGGGGGAAACCGGAGCACCTGGAGGAAACCCACACCAACACAGGGAGAACATGCAAACTCCACACTGAACTGCCAACTGACCAAGTTGGGACTCGAACCAGGGACCTTCTTGCTGTGAGGCAACAGTGCTAACCACTGAGCCACTGTGCCGCTCCTGGATATAGTAATATAATATAAATACAGCTTATAAATAAGTTATTAACATGTGGTATGCTGAATGAACTGAGATCTGGCTGCGTTCAGTGTCTCATTGATTCAGTTTAGTGGATGTGACACATGAGCAGTGAAACACACACACACAGCTTGTCTTTGGGTCTGTCAGGCTGATCAGCACTTGTTTAGAGCTTTTCATCATGTTGCTGGAGGTTAAGTATCTCTATCTGTTACCTGGTAACCAAACACTCATCAGATACATGCACACACGCACACACGCACACACACACACACACACACACACACACACACACACACACACACACACACACACACACATAGAAAGAAAGAAAATCCACCACCTGCGGACTCAAACTCTATAAAAGACACCGATCAGTTTCAACACACACACACACACACACACACACACACACTGCATGACTCGCTCTTGGCTAAACACTCACCCTTTCTCACAACAGCGCTAAATCAGTACTGTTTACATGCTGTTATATTATTATTTATTTTAATGCATTAATATTATATGCAAAATAATTTCATATAATTATTCAAATTAATATTATTATTATTTATACAAGTGTTTTATTAATTTATACCCTTTTATATGTACATTATATTCAATATATATAATGTTTCCACCTTATATTAGTAAATAATAATTAAAATTTAAAATAATAATTAAATATTAAAATAAACATTTAAATAATCGTCTTTTTTAGTCATTTTTGTTTATTGATTATTATTTAATTAAATTTTATTTGGAAATCTCAGTATCTGAGATTGTATTGAATTAGTTTAAATTAAGTCTTATTAAACAAGCCTTATGCATATTTTTAACTATATATATTTTTTACTATATATATATATATATATATATATATATATGCAGCTTTACAGAAAAAAATCACAATGTTTAGTTTTAATGCCATGCCGTGTTTAGCCATATAATAAGCCACATGCATATATTTAGCCAAAAACTGCTACATGTTTATTCTTCCTGCGATATATTTAGCAGATTAAAAGCTTATTGTATTCTTAATGTGATGCTATTTTCATTTCATTCCAGCTTACAGCGCCGTCTTGTGGACAACAGAGGAGGTGGCTGTTTAAAACTAAATTATTATAAATTTGTCCTTTTATCATACTTAATATAATATAATATAATATAATATTATATATATATATATATATATATATATATATATATATATATATATATATATATATATATATATATATATATATATATATATATATATATATATATAAACACATATATATATATATATATATATATATATATATATATATATATATATTTTTTTTTTTTTTTTTATTTATTTATTTTTATTATTTAATTTTTTTTTTTACCTGCCAAATATTTCTAAGCAGAAATTAGTTAAAAGTCATTAAAAGCTTCATGTTCATTTCAAAAAGATGCACTCTACACTTTCAAGGCAAAAATAGAATGGTGACACACTTTAAAAAAAGGTTTCTGTAGTTAATATGTTTACTAATATGAACTAGTTATGAATAATACTTGTAGAGCATTTCTTAATCATAGTTCCACATTAAATAATGCATTGATACATCTAAATGCATGCTTGTTGTTGTTGAGTCCCAGCTGGGTCAGTTGGCATTTCTGTGTGGAGTTTGCATGCTCTCCCTGTGTTGGCGTGGGTTTCCTCCAGGTGCTCCGGTTTCCCCCACATCCCAAACATGTGTTATAGGGAATGGATGAACTAAGTTTTCTGCAGTGTATGGGTGTGTGTGTGTGTGTGAGTGCTTATGGGTGTTTCCCAGCACTGGGTTGCTGCTGGAAAGGAATCCGCTGCATAAAACATAAGCTGGAATAGGGATTCATTCAACTGTGGTGACCCTTGATAAATAAGGGACTACTCTGAAGGAAACTGAATGAACTAAGTTAACATGAACTACCATTGAACATCTGTATTTTCAGCCTGATCTCACGAGAAAACGTAAGTATTTTACGTTTTGCCAGTTTAGTGGCTAATTTGTATAAATTCGTATGAGTTCAGTCGTACGAAATTGTACGATTTAAAAAAGGACCTAACCCCATCCCTGAACCCAACCGTCATTGGGGGAAGAGCATATCGTACTAAAATGTACCAGTTAGATCGTACGAATTCATACGAATTAGCCACTAAATCAAAAAGTTACGAATTGCCATGTGATTGTATTGGTATTTTCAGTAACTAACATGAACAAATGCTGTAATTATTGTATTGCTCATGCATTAACAAACATTAATGCAACCATATTGTAAAGTGTTACCAGTATAATTGTGTGTGCATTGGTGTAGTGCGGTTGACCTGTGCTAGCATGTCCCTGCGGTCGGCGTCGCTGTAGAGCGGTAAATATTTGCGCAGGATTTTGATGGCGTGTTGTTTAAAGATGGCCGTTGTGTAGATAGTGCACTCGACCGCGGATACGGGCTTCTTGAAGACACCATACACAAAAATCACACCTTCCTCTGAAGTCGTTCCTGAAACACACAAACATTAGCCTCAAACCTGCTTTCATCAACAACAACAATATCAAAACAGGTTCCAGCTTCACCTTACTAGCCATTTTAACACAACGTTAACATGTTTTATTACATTATTAACATGTTATTAGCATGTCTTAGCATGATGAAGCACTTCACTAACATGTTTTAGCACAGTGTTGGGATTTTTCAAGCCTGTTCTTTTCATGCAGCCAGCATGTTTCTTATATTAGCACAACGCTAGCATGTTTTGTTACATTTCTAACAAGCATGTATTAGCATGATGAAACACTTTGCTAACATGTTTTAGCACAATGAAGCACTTCACTAACATGTTTTGGCACAGTGTTTCGATTTTTCTAACCATTTTGTTCAAGCAGGCAACATGATTTTTATATTAGCACAGCATTAACATGTTTTGTTACATTTCTAGCATGGTATTAGCATAATATTAGCATGTCTTAGCAAGATGAAACACTTTGCTAACATTTTTAACCACAATTAAGCACTTCACTAACATGTTTTGGCACAGTGTTTGGTTTATCCTAGCCTGTTCTTGTCATGCAGTCAACATGTTTCTTATATTAGCACAATGTTACATGTTTTATTACATTTCTAGCATGTTATTAGCATGATGAAGCACTTCACTAACATATTTTAGCACAGTGTTGTGATTTTTCTAGCCTGTTTCTTTCATGCAGTCAACATGTTTCTTATTTTAGCACAATGTTAACATGTTTTATTACATTTCTAGCATGTTATTAGCATGTCTTAGCACAATGAAGCACTTTGCTAACATGTTTTAGCACAGTGTTGGCAATTTCTAGCTTTTTCTTTTCATGAAGCCAACATGTTTCTTATTTAAGCACAATGTTAACATGTTTTATTACATTTCTAGCATGTTATTAGCATGTCTTAGCACGATAAAACACCTCACCAACATGTTTTAGCTCAGTGTTGGTATTTTCTAGCCTGTTCTTTTCAATGCAGCCAACATGTTTCTTATATTAGCACAATGTTAACATGTTTTGTTTCATTTCTAGCATGCTCTTAGCTTGTCTTGGTATGATGAAGCACTTTGCTAACATGTTTTAGCACAGTGTTGAGATTTTTCTAACATGTTCTTCCATGCTGCTAACATGTTTCTTATGTTAGCATGTGGCTATAGCACATTTTAGTATACTGTTAGCATTGGTTCAAGACATTGTTAACATTTCAGCTTTTCCAACAATTTTCTATCATGTTTCGTCATGCTGCTAATGTTTCTTCTATGTTTAACCTGTGGCTAGCATGTTGACACTGCTAACACGGTTCAAGACTTTGTTAGCATGATTTAACTGATTTTTAAAATATTTGAAGTGTTAACATTTTTTAAGCATGTTTTGTCAGGTTTTTAACACCTTTCTTTCATGTGTTAGCACATGACTAGCATGTTTTTTTACTACACTGACAACACATTCAATACATATTTTAGCACAGCATTGGCATTTATCAAGCATGTTTGGTTATTGCTAAGAAATTTGACACATGCTTTTATTAGCATGTGACAAGCATGGTTCAATTTGTGGTTACATAATTTAGCAGATTGCTAACATGTTTTAAAACCATCAAACGTTAGGAAGTTACTAGCATGTTCAGCATATTTTCTGCTTGTTTTAGCATGCTAATAGCATAATTTAGGAGGTTGTTTGCAATTTTGCAAGAAAGTAGAACATGCTTATAATATCTAAACATGTTGCTTAAATATTTGAACATGTTTCTTTCACACTGTTACAAAGTTTAACATTTGATAGCTATACCAAAGCCTTTTGTCAGGTTTTGCTAGTTGTCGGGGCTTTGCATGGTATTTCTTGTTTGCTAATCCGCATGAGATGATGATTATGTTCTGGATATGACTATTAGGATATATTTCAGCACTTGTAAAGAGTGCTCTTAAGAGTTAAGTTAAAATATGAGGAAAACCCAAGACAGTAGTTTACCAAGCAGCACAGGTTTCTCCTTCTGCCAGTGTCCTTTCTGGAAGGCGCTCACCGCCTGCTCCTTGATCAGCTCGCCATCAATGAACGGCCCCCAGATCTCAAACACCTCCAGAAAGCGGAATGGGTTCACCAACTTTGAGCCTGGGACACATTGTTAAATATTTTAGCAGTGCTACATTTTTTCTAGCATGTTTCGTCAAGTTCTGAATGCTTTTTTTCATGTTTTAACACACAGCTAGCATGTTTCACTACACTGCCAGCGTACAAGACATTGCTAATGCAATTTAGCACATTACTAAAATGTTTTAGCACAGCATTGCAGCATTGGCATGTCTCCAGAATGTTTTGTCATCGCTAATATGTTACATACATGGTTTTATTAGCATGTAGTTAACATGTTCAGTACATGATTTAAAAAATTGTTAACATGTTTTAGCACTGCATTAGCATGTTTTAGCATGTTTTTGACACTACTAACATGCTTATTACATGTTTTATTAGCATGTGGCTTTGATGTTTTGTCAGGTTCCTAACATGTTTCTTTCATGTTTAAGCACACTAGCCGCATGTTTACTACAATGCCAGCATACAAGACATTGCTTATGTAATTTAGCACATTGCTAACATTTTACGTTTTAATACGTTTTAATAGCATGTGGCTTACATGTTTTTTCAGGTTCCTCACACATTTCTTTTATGTTAAAGCACACAGCTAGCACGTTTACTACACTACTACATCTATACAAGACATTGGTAATGCGATTTAGCACATTGCTAACACATTATGTTAATGCTAAGATGTTTATTAAATGCATTTATTAACACATAGTTACATAGTTCAATATGTTTTTGCATAAATTAGCCAACTGGTAGCATGTTTTAACACTGCCTTGGCAAGCTTTAGCATGTTTTGACATTACTAAGATGTTAATTACATGTTTTATTAGCATGTGGTGACATGTTTTGCCAGGTTTCTAATATGTGTCCTTCATGTTTTAGCACAGGCCTAGCATGTTTTACTACTCTACCAGCATAGTTCAGAACATTGCTGGTGCAATTTAAAACATTGCTAACTTGATTTAGGACCGCATTGGCATGTTTTAGCATGTTTTTGACATTACTAAGATGTTTATTACATGTTTTATTAGCATCTTTATAACAGATGAACATTTCACTATTTGGAATAGTACAAATATTTCACCATTATTATTGTTTTGCTGTACTTTGGATATAAAAAACAGGGTTAGTAAGCATAAGAGACTAATCTAAAAATCATTAAAAATGTAAATGTTTGATTGGTAGAGTGTTTGTTAAATCAGTGCTGTGTTTGTTCTTACTGGTCTTGATCTGGGCATGCAGCACATCTTCAGCACTCAGAGACTGAAGACACTTCATGTCCTCCAGTGAACAGTTTGCTGCTTTGGCGAAGTGTTTTCCCAGCTTCAGAGACTCGCGTCTGAGCAGAAACATTGGTTAGTGTAATCATGACACTGGTCGCAGGTTTATATAAGTGTTGGTGTGTGTTTACCGTGTTTTGAGAGGAATAGAGAAAGGTAAACTCTGGAAAACCGCCTGTTTAAAGAGAGGTTTGCTGCTCTGGATCATCAGATGTAAACTGACTGATTGAGCGCCGGCGCTTTCACCAAAAATAGTTACCTAAAGTCACACAGAAATGACATGAAGAACTCACATTGTGCAGATTTATTTTATTGTGTTTTATTGATGTAAACTTTGAGTGAATTTCATGAAAACATCAGTTTAATCTTAAGAAACTAATATATTTTAATAATAATATACATTATTCAAAATGATAATATATAGTGGATAGATAGATAGATAGATAGATAGATAGATAGATAGATAGATAGATAGATAGATAGATAGATAGATAGATAGATAGATAGATAGATAGATATACAGACAGACGGACAGACGGATAAATAACGAATCAAATGACACCTCATTTATGCAAATTGGATCTACTGTTCAAAAGATACAGCCCTTTGAGTCTGGACCAATCAGATCCAATATTCTAATGAGGGTGAAACATAATGAGGGTGAAACTCGTATTAACACACTAACCTATATGCATAGACGCTCAAACCTTCATTCTAACCCTAAACCCTGACCCTAACCCCAAGCAAACCCTTAACCTAACACTAACTTGTTAAATGACATGATTCAATAAAGAAGACTGACAATTTAAACTATTCACCGGGTTAATTAGGTTAACTAGGCAGGTTAGGGTAATTTGTTATTTTGTTAATTTGGTAAGTTATTGTATAACGATGGTTTGTTCTGTAGACCATTGAAAAATATACTGCTTATAGGAGATAATTAGTGACCTTAAAATTATTAATTATTTATTAAAAACTGCTTTTATTACTGCCAAAATAAAACAAATAAGACTTTATCCAGAAGAAAAAAACATTATCAGACATACTCTGTACATTCATTTACTCTGTTAAACATCATAAATACTAACACAGAGAAAACCGCAGTTTAGCGCCCCCTGTTTGTTCGAAGCGGCTAACGTCATTGCACATTTTAGCCAGTTCGAACACAGACATTTATCACCCTAGATACACTAGAGGGCGCCTCTTCATCTACGTATCTACAGGTAGATGGCATCAATTTATTTCTTATAGGTGGGAAATAAAACATTAATAATATGTGTAACGACATGATTGACATTTATTTGTTGTTTAGGTTATAGGTCAAAGGTCATGTGTGTGTGTGATAGATAGACAGACAGACAGACAGACAGACAGACAGACAGACAGACAGACAGACAGATAGATAGATAGATAGATAGATAGATAGATAGATAGATAGATAGATAGATAGATAGATAGATAGATAGACCTTAAAATTATTTTTTAATTTTATTTAAAACTGATTTTATTACTGCCAAAATAAAACAAATAAGACTTTATCTTTTTTTATTTTACACAATATAACAAAAGACGTGCTGCCCTGTTGTGGACAAACTTTGAAACGTTCAGACCCAACTTGCAGAGTGCTTTTACTAATGTTGAATAACAATATGCAACTATTTTATGTATTTTTATTAATTAAATAGTTTTATTTTATTAATTAAACAATTATTTTGTTTATTTTATTATTGTTTTGTACATCTATCCTTGGATTTTATTATTGATCTTTAATTTCATCAAAGTTCCTTTTTTTGTTCACTAGAGGAACTCATCTGACAAGTTAGCAAAGGAAAACCCTTTAACTCACAGACTGTCACATCAGAGCCACATTCTGACAAATACTGAATGAAACCTTAATGCTGACATTAACTAAAAAGATGGCATCAATTTATTTCTTATAGGTGGAAAATAAAATATGAATAAAATGTGTAACGACACGATTGACAATTATTTGTTGTTTAGGTTATAAGTCAAAGGTCATGTGTGTGTGATAGACAGAGAGACAGAGATAGATAGATAGATAGATAGATAGATAGATAGATAGATAGATAGATAGATAGATAGATAGATAGATAGATAGATAGATAGATAGATAGATAGATAGATAGATAGATAGATAGATAGATATACTTCAAGAAACTTCTATACAGCTTAAAGTGACATGTAAATTCTTCACCAGGTTAATTAGGTTAACTAGGCAGGTCAGGGTAATTAGTCAAGATATTGTATAATGATGGTTTGTTCTGGAGACCATTGAAAAAATATATATTGCTTATAGGACATAATTAGTGACCTTAAAATTATTTAAAAAAAACATTTATTTAAAACTGCTTTTATTACTGCCAAAATAAAACAAATAAGACTTTATCCAGAAGAAAAAAAAACATTATCAGACATACAGTGAACATTCATTTACTCTGTTAAACATCATAGATACTAACACAGAGAAAACCGCAGTTTAGCGCCCCCTGTAATGTTTGAAGCGGCTAACGTCATTGCACATTTTAGCCAGTTCGAACACAGACCATTATCACCCTAGATACACTAGAGGGCGCCTCTTCATCTACGTATCTACAGGTAGATGGCATCAATTTATTTCTTATAGGTGGGAAATAAAACATTAATAATATGTGTAACGACATGATTGACATTTATTTGTTGTTCAGGTTATAGGTCAAAGGTCATGTGTGTGTGATAGATAGACAGATACACAGACAGACAGACAGACATACAGACAGACAGACAGACAGACAGATAGATAGATAGATAGATAGATAGATAGATAGATAGATAGATAGATAGATAGATAGATAAAATTTTCATGTAAAAAAGATCTTATTAATAATAAATTAATGGTATTTATGGTATGCATTTTGTTTATTAATCCATTATTATTTTTCTGCTTAAATAAAATTAAGGCTGTGTGACTATTGAGGAGAAAGTCTCAATAGTCAATACTTTAAGCATTTTAAATCATGTTATATAATAATAAATGTAATATATGTTTATGAATGATTTTCAGTGTGTTGTCCTCACTCTGCTCGGGTCTCCTCCAAACGCTGCAATGTTCTGCTGCACCCAGATCAGCGCTGCCTGCTGGTCCAGAATGCCATAATTGCCAACTGCCGTCGACTTTGGGTCTTTTCCCGATACTAGAAAACCGAAGGCTCCTGCAGACGGACACGGTGAGAACTGTTTATGCTTATTATCAGAGCTGGTCATAGCATTTATGAATAGTGTTTAGAATATTTATGAATTTATATTTATTAATATGTATTTCATTTTTAAAAAATATTTATATTCTAACTACTTTTGGATTACACTTAAGTTATTTTGAGCTAACCCTGATTTGATGTCACTTATTTTGAAGTAGGATAATCTTTACTATTTTGACAGGAACAAAACAATTTATGAATATTTTTTTATAAGCAACAAGAGCCTCAACTTCTTTTTAAAGTACAATGATGGAAAGCTAATACTTCGACATACTGACTCTACATCGATGTTACTGTTTCCCGAAGGATGATAGCTCCTCCTTAAATGACTGAAAGGCCACGCCCTAAATGACTCACAATCATGCCCTTAATTACTAACAGCCCCCCAAATGACTGACAGCACTTGCCCTAAAGAACTGATAGTCCCGCCCTAAATGACTGATTGTCTCGCCCTAAAGGATTGATATGCCCTCCTTAAATGACTGATAACCCCGCCCTAAATTACTCTCAGTCTCGCCCTAAATGACTGATTGCCTCGCCCTAAAGGATTAATAGGCCCTCCCTAAATGACTGATAACCCCGCCCTAAATTACTCTCAGTCTCGCCCTAAATGACTGATTGCCTCGCCCTAAAGGATTAATAGGCCCTCCCTAAATGACTGATAACCCCGCCCTAAATTACTCTCAGTCTCGCCCTAAATGACTGATTGCCTCGCCCTAAAGGATTAATAGGCCCTCCCTAAATGACTGATAACTCCGCCCAAAATTACTGTCAGTCCCGCCCTAAATGACTGATTGCCCCGCCCTAAAGTATTGATAGGCCCTCCCTAAATGACTGATAACCCCGCCCTAAATGACTGATTGCCCAGCCCTAAAGGACTGATAGGCCCTCCCTAAATGACTGATAACCCTGCCCTAAATTACTGTCAGTCCCGCCCTAAATGACTGATTACCCCGCCCTAAAGGATTGATAGGCCCTCCCTAAATGACTGATAACCCCGCCCTAAATTACTGTCAGTCCCGCCTTAAATGACTGTTTGCCCCGCCCTAAAGTACTGATAGCCCCTCCCTAAATGAGTGTAAAACCCTGCCTTAACTTATTGACAATCCCACCTTAAATGACTGATTGCCCCGCCCTAAATGACTGATAGCCCCTCCCTAAAGCTATTCCATGTGACCAGAATTTAAGAAAGGTAATTTCAAAAGGGGGAGGAAAGGTAATGATATTTGGTTTAAGATTATGAGTGCAAATTTTTTTTTACAAAATAATGATGTGCATAGATAACTTAAATACTGATCATTTTAAATCCTCATATGTGCTATAATCATTAATAAACACAATTAAAAATAATTCAAACGTATTGTGGAGTACGTTCACTTTTAGGAAGATTTCTACCCAAAATTAATAAATCAAACCCCTGGTTATGATTATTATGGTCAGTTTGTGACTCACCCAGGCGATATGCGATGCTCACGATCACCGTCTGTGTGTAGTTGCTGATGAATCTGCCGTCGTACAGCGGTTTGGATGCGGATCCTGCGATGAAATCCCCACCGTGGATCCACAGCATCACCGGCAGCGGCTGCAGCAGCGGAGTCGCCAGATCCACACTCAGAGGAACAAACACATTCAGGTACAGGCAGTCCTCACTCACCTGAACACACAAAATACACAGGTTTACTGCTCTATATGCTTTGTAATAATTCTGCGTTACATTCCAAGTCGCATAAATTGCCCATTTAAAATGTTTCTGATTTGGTCGACTGACTTGTTCATGTTCATTCAAAGCAATATTAGTTTCATACTTACAGATTTTATGTTTTATTATTGTAAAAGTTAAGATTGATTAAATTCCTATTTCAGTAATTGCTTACGAAAAACTAGAGAAAGAGATGACGCCCCCCTAGTGGAAAATATGAATAATAAATAGATAATGACCCCTAGTAGAAAATTTAAAATATAAAAAATAAATAAATATATATATAGCGATATATAATTTACAGTCGTTATTATATATTTTTATGTTTTATATTTTCTACTAGGGGTCGCTATTTGTTTATTATATACATTTTAAAATATTTTCCCCCAGGGTTATTATCTGTTTATTATATATATTTTAAAATATTTTCCTCCAGGGTCTTTATCTGTTTATTGTATATTTTTATGTTTTATATTTTCCACTATGGACGCTATTATATATTTTTAAAAACATTTTCCACATTATCTGTTTATTGTATATTTTATGTCATCACTTTCTCTCTTTCTTTATCATCAATTAGTGTAATGGTAATTTAATAAATCTTAACATTCACAATAATGAAACAAAACCTCAAAAATCTGTAGGTAATAATTTGATCTTTGAAAATGAAAATGAGCTTTGATTGTCATTAAAATAATGTTAAAATGTATTTATAAATCTAAGTTGAACCAAAAATAGGTTTGATATTTTTTATGCATAGAATCATAATACAATAATATGTGTATATATTTAATAAAGTCAATTAAATGTAATTTTAGCACCGTTAGCACTATTTTGACATTATTTACATTCTGATATCTTGACATTTAATTCACATATTTACATAAATTTCCTATTATCGTATACATCAAATTACTTACTGAGCTTTTACTTAGCTTAATCTCAGCGATTTTTAACATTTATTTATGCATTGATTTTAATTGCATTGAACGGACTGAGAATTGCATATATATATATATATATATATATATATATATATATATATATATATATATATATATATATATATATATATATATATACACACACACACACACACACACACACACACACACACACACACACACACACACACATAGCACTCAGCATAATTAAGTACAGCCCATTTAGAAAATTCTCCATTTCTCAGTGAATATAGGCAACATATTACAGATTTATTAAACAGATATATTTATTAAAATAATATTTTAGTCACCAAACATATTTATAAATTGAAAGATAAAACAATTAAATTCAAGCATAAATATTGAGAAAAGAAATTAAAACTTTCAACTCTTTTTTTTATGTTTTGCTTATCTTTATTAAATGTGTATTTAATATTTTTCTATAACATAAATGTAGCTGTACTAGTTTTTGGACTGTTATTGTAAGTTATTTTGTTAGATAAGCTCCTGATTTGGCTTCAGTATGACTAATCTAATTTATATACACAAATATAATAAAGCTTTCTATTAAAAAGTTTAAAAGATTGATTTGTGAGGGGTGTACTTATATACGCAGAGCACTGTTCATATTTATAATTGTAATAGGTAACTTAGTAAAAAAAGCATAATTAACAAATCCTAGACAGTTTCATTGAATAATTACCATGTACACTTTATGCGTCCTTTACATATGCAGCATCTGAAAAGTTTGTTTAGTCTGAAAATACTCAATTGTCTCACCTTTTTGGGGCAGTCATCAGCAATGGGGCCGATGCAGGCCTGCATACACGCCGCTCTGGGAAAGGAGGCATCATATACCCCTTTCCATGGAGTAACAGGTCTCGGAGCTTTCCAACGGGACGTCCCGACTGGAGGATCAGCAAACGGGATCCCATAAAACACATAAGACTTGTCCAGCAGCAGGCCCTGTACCAGTCCATCTTTAATAAGCAGTTTGGGTCCATCTGCTGTTCTGGAGGGCTGACCTGGGGTCAGTGCTGATGGAGAAACACTGCGCAGTACAGCAGATACATTGATCTGAGCATCTGATCTGGAGTCAGTGAGGAAAAACACACACAAACTCAACACACACTTGTAGGACAGCATGTTTTCTGCTCTTCTGCGCGCTCGAATGGATGGAGGAGGAAGATTTCCCACAATTCCTCAGTCTTCTGGAGCTCTTGTGACTCTTATTATGCTGTACACTGGGACTCTGTTGTGTGTGTGTGTGTTTGTTTGTGTGTGTGTGTTTAATGACCAGCAGGTTGTCTGTACTTTAGAAAATTGAATTAAGTTACATTCATTCCTTTGACGTCCATATCTTTGTATTTGTATTTGTGGTTTGTTAAAGGAATATTATAATTCTATCAATTAATATGTAATTAAAATAATATTTTTAGTGATTTAGGAGGTTTAAAATAAACAATGTATTGTATTATTTCATTTCATTTTAAAATTAATTTAAGGTTACTTATTATACAATTTATTATTACTTGTACTTATTATACAATTATAATTTATTTATAAATTATTTATAAGAATTTATAATAATAATTACATTAAATAAATTATATATATATTTTTCCAACTTTATCTTTATGATATAATTTTGTATAAATCAACAATAATATCACATTTTGAAAACAATAAGTGTTATTTATTATCTATTATAAGAAGGGGCTTCCGGGTCCAAGCGCTATATATATATATATATATATATATATATATATATATATATATATATATATATATATATATAAAAAGAGCAATATCACACTCGTAGCAGTGCGATATGGCTGTATATCGGCACTGGTGGGGGCATATCGCACTGCTACGAGTGTGATATTGCATTTATACAACAGTTTGACGGCATAATTGTGTATATAAAAACTAAATCAAACATGGAGAGTCTCAAAAACCTATTTAATAGTATACCGATTTAATTACCTATTCTAATAATTCTGACTTCAACTGTAAAATTCACTTTAACGTGTGATATGACTAAAAAGTGATCATAAATGAATATTTTCTTAATTCAAACTAGTATAGCGGATTGGACCCGGAAACAGTATTCCAAACGTCACGACTTAACAAGCGTTAGTTTTAACCTTTATAAATTATATGTACAAGATCTCATTTTAAAATGTCTCCTTTTGCAATGTGATTATAGTAAAATAATTACAAATAACAAACAGTTGTGCTTTCGTGTAATAAAACAGTTATAAAAATACAATTGCTGCTTGTTCAAACTATGTATTTAAAATGAATTAAAACAACAATTCTAACATTTTTGGGGAACAATAGGCAATATGCACACAGACTTTTAATTTCAGTCAGCTAGCCCCTGGGCTTCCGGCTAATTGTCATCCCATACAAAATCGCCACGTTTACAGACGTCCCAAGGAGGGAGGGGGATGGGTGGGGGATGAAGAGAGAGCCAGCCTGATCTCACGAGAAAACGTAAGTATTTTACGTTTTGCCAATTTAGTGGCTAATTTGTACGAGTTCAGTTGTAAAAAATTGAACAATTTTAAAAAGTAGGCATGGCACCTAACCCCGCCCCTAAACCCAACCGTCATTGGGGGATGAGCAAGTCGTACTTATTTGTACGAATTAGATCATACGAATTCATACGAATTAGCCACTAAATCAAAAACTAACGAAAATTTGTGAGATTGTGTTGGAAGAGCTATGCTGAAGAGCGGTGGGGTTGAGTTGCGCCCGACGTACCTGAAGAGCTGGGAGGCATGCAGCGAAGACTATTTGAGGAGCGTGATTTCCTGGAGATTATCATTCATTTGCAGCATTCCGGGAGTCTCTATTCATTTGCGGGAGACCTTCGGAACTTCCAGGAGTCTTGAGATGTCTGTGTTTAAGATCCGATTTCTTTAAAAAGCATTGAACTTCACTGCCTGGCTGAGATACGATATAAAGTGGGTCTCAGACCAAACAAGAAGCACTGCAGTAAATTATATTTTCCCACGCCATGTCTTTAAAATATGGAAATTAGTTTTACCCTAGGATTTTCAATGGAGTTTCTGAGCTAGCCTGCTGCTAATGATGGCGCCTCGTTTAAATGGTCTTTTGACTCTTTTTTTACGCTTGAACAACTAAGTGAATGCTTAGGTCTATTTACCTTATTACATTTGAATTACATTACAACATCAATGCTGTAAAATAAACCTTATAAAATTGACAATAGTCACATAAACCTTTCACCGGAAGTTCATCATTGGCTAAAAAAACACTAGCTGTGCATATAGCCCATTGACCTTTTATTTGTTTACTCCACTTAAATTTGAAAAAGCGATTAAGTTAAAGATTAATTCAGATTGTATTGGAACAACTTGAAGGAATAACGTTATTTAAAGTTCTTTTTAATTCTTTAATTTAGACGAGGATTCGTAAATAATAATAATGATAATACCTCTTCCACCCCACTAGGCTGCAGCACATGCGCGGTGTGTCGCGTAAACATGACGACCAGTCGCAGCGTCAGACGTCACTCCTAAAAGCAGCGATGGCGGCTCCCACAGAAAGCACGAGCGAAACGACAACAGATAAAAAACAGAAAAAGAGCAAAAATACAGGTACATTTACGATTATAAATCACCAACAGCACATCATATTTTCACCACAGCGCGAGTCGACCAAGCGCGCGTCATCAGTATCTGTTATATTGACATAAACTGAGGTGTTGTTTGTTTACTCGTGAAGAAGCTCGTGTAGCTTCAAACTCCTCACTATAGTTTTAATGTTATATTGAGTCATATTGTTGCTGTAATAAAATGTATTTGTGTGTATTGGTTGTCTTACATTGTTTCTCAGTCTGCATTTCTCACATACACACTCGTTTTCAGTGGAAAATCTGCCGAAAATCAAGTGTGGTGTGAGAAATAATCAAGTTTGGTTTGAGATAGTGGTTGAAGTACTGAATAATTACCAGAAGCTTGATGTTTTAATATTACAGACGTGCTAGTACTAGCTCAGTATGATTTTTAGCTGCAGAATTTAATGATTATCATGTTCGTAAACAATGCACATACACACAGTGGCTATACATGGCAATGTTAACATAGATATTTTTGTGAAAATGCATGGTGAGACTCTTCTGATTTGATAGAGGTAAAATTGGTTTTATAGTCGCACATTCGGAGTTTCCCCTTAACAATATAATTTTATTAAAGTATTATTTGCAAGCTCTAAATAGCGAAATCATATTAGAAGCAAATGACTATCAAAGTATTTATATGTCAAAGAATTCTGTTTATTTTAATATTTTTTTTTCTCAGATTTTTTATTATTGTTCTTTTTTATTTATACCTAATGTTTTAATTCATTGTTATTTATGTATGTTATTTATTTTTAAAGTACAAAATTGTTCACAGTCAAATAATCAGTGTTGATGTTGTTTTCAAGTCACACTTGCATGCTAATTCCAATCGAATATCAAAGTAAAAAATATGTAATGTTATAATATATATTTATGTCAAAGAATTCTGTTTATTTTAATATTTTTTTCTCAGATTTTTTATTATTGTTCATTTTTATTTATTCCTAATGTTTTAATTCATTGTTATTTATGTATGTTATTTATTTTTAAAGTACAAAATTGTTCACAGTCAAATAATCAGTGTTGATGTTGTTTTCAAGTCACACTTGCATGCTAATTCCAATCGAATATCAAAGTAACATGGTAAACAATATAGAGACTTCTAAATGAACAAATGTGCGATTATAAAACCAACTTTACCTCTATTCTGATTTGTATGTCGTTTCAGTAAGATCGTCTCTGTGTTTTGTTCATCGTAATGCACATTAGATAAAAGCATTTGTTTAATTCTCTTTGCATGCTTTAAATAAATAAAAAGTGTTTTCCAGTTGGGGAAATTCAACTTTGTGTGTTATTATATGTATGTTTATATGTTTTACAATTATTTTTAAAGATATAATAATGATTTGAAACATTCTAAATACAATAGTAATTTCATTCAAAATGCTCACAAATTCATTCATTAATAAAACTGCTGGCTGGTCAATGACTTTGCAGGGTTAGTTTAGCAGTGTTATGACTGCTTTATGAAATAATAATGCTTCAGGTCAGGAAATGCAGAAATAGTGTACATGTTTTAAATAAATAATGAGGATTGCATAGAATAGGGTTGCAGCTGGAAGGCCATTCACTTCGTAAAACATATGCTGGATAAGTTGGCGGTTCATTCCGGTGTGGCGACCCCTGATTGATAGAGGGACTAAGCTGAAAAGAAAAATTAAGGAATATATTTGTGAATTATTTTGGTTCTGTTTTAAAATGTGGAGGAGCTGTTTGCTTCATGCATCATCTGTATTTTGAAGCCATACTTTGTTTTATTTGAAAGCGAGGACCGCAATGGAAACAAGCCCAGGGCTTTATTGTGTTTTTATCCTCAACTGTTTTTATTTCAAAATGTATGGGATACTTGTTTTTTTGTACAGCTTGTCTCAAATCTGTCAAATACAATTTAATTCATATAATGACTCGGTAATTAATTTATTATTATTTTTTGGTTTGAAACAGATGATGCTGATCTGCTGACAGTCCCAGATGACTGGAAAGAGCCGAAGTTCACCAAAGCGGACAATCCTAAAGGTCTGCTGGAGGAGAGCAGCTTCGCCACACTTTTCCCCAAATACAGAGAGGCCTATCTGAAAGAGTGCTGGCCGCTGGTGCAGAAGGCCCTCGCCGAGCTCGTAAGTGTCCACTAAATCATAGCTTATTGTTGCATTAGCTGTTAAAGTGCTCATGAAATTAAAATGAAGTTTTTTAGATCTTAGTATCATTATGGTTAGTTTTAAGGGTAAGTATAAGCTGGTGTGCTCCAAAACACTTAAATTTTTTTTTTCAATTGTCTATTTAATATCCATTTGCTGTATATCTTATAATTATATATTTATGTGAAGAATAAGAATTGTTTTCTTATCTTGAATTATAGGCTGATTGTAAATGAATTAGATTTTTTGTCTCATTTCTCTGTCTCTTCTGCTGCTGTGTAGTTCATCAATGCCACACTGGACCTGATTGAGGGCAGTATGACGGTGAACACCACCAAGAAAACATTTGATCCGTATTCAATCATCAGAGCGAGGGATCTCATCAAGTTACTGGCTAGAAGTGTGCCCTTTGAACAGGTAAGCAA